ATGGCGTGAGCCGGGCTGTCTGTGTGAGGCGGGTAGTGAAGAAGGAGGTAGCGATACGCCACCCCACCACTAGTACAGCGAGCGCTGACGCATGCGCGCTGGACTGGTGGCGCGTGGTCTACTTTCCCGAGAGTAAGCTACTTCCGCCACACTCGGTGGGGGCGGGGCGTCGTGCGCGCTTGGGCGTTCTGGTTTCCCCGCGCTGTCGCGCGCGGCCCTCAGGGCGTTGGGGGGTAACACTGAGCTGTACCGCGGGGTCTTGGAGCGGGGAGAGTTGGGAGAGGTGTGGAATGATAGGTGTTCAAGCTCCAGGCTTTGAATTCTTTAGGAATGGCGCTAAATGGGCTAGGGTTTTCAAGAGATTCGGTGAACGACACAGAAAGTTTGTTTTCAGCTTTGAGGCAGATTAGCCATTGAAAGCTTCTCTTTAGGAATTGGGGTGGACGGGGATTTTAGACGGATTGTGCGTTTAAAATGGTGAAGGGAAACAAAGATCAGCTACCGAAAGGATCGCAGTGAATGAGCGAGCTGGGATGTGGATATGGAACTCTTTCTGAAACAATGAAGAAGTACCAGCTCTTCCGCGGGGCCCGGTGGCAGAACACCATTTTCCCACCCTGGCCCTGCACAAAATCATCCAAGAGACAGTGGGAGATGGTGCGCGATGAGCACGTTTCTGATAGTGAAAACCTTTTTCTATTTGAAGATCTTTTAGGGACGACTGCCAATGTTTTTTTTTCCTTAGGGTTTTGGCCTGTCCCTCTATTTTAAAACTCTGCACCCCGACTATTGAAGTGTGCAGCTTGTCCTCTCACGTCATTTGGTCGAGATACATATATTTAGTTTCTTAAAGAATACAATCATAAGGCAATGACTTCACTTCGGTTGCTTTCATTCTTCACATTATTTGAAGTATTCTTGGTATTTGTAACATTATTTTTGGTTGCTTAACGAAGAAAACTGATTACCATATGCTCACATACGCTCCTACCACATCAGGTATTTTAAAATTTTGTTTAATAGAGATACTACTATCAACCTTCAGGTCTTTTGTCGGGGGGAGGAGGTGGCGGGGTGAAAATATGTGCAACAAAACATACAGTCCTTCAACAATGTTTACATGTACAGATCATCAACAATAGTTCCATACTTCACATTTTGTCACTATTCTTATCTTTGCCCGTATTATTTCACCAGTCCAAGTCTCTTCTGTGCCCTGGTGTCACGGTAGTTAAGCACTGGGCGCTAACCTAACGGTTGGTGATTTGAACCCACCAGCCGCTCTATGGGAGATAGATGTGGCAGTCTGCTTTCCTAAAGATTACAGCTTTGGAAACCTTATGGAGCAGTTCTGCTCTGTCCTATAGGGTCAGTATGAGTCAAATCAACTAGACCCAGTGGTTTTGCCCCCACTTCCCCGTTTTAGAATTACTGTTGTCCGATTAATCTCATATAGATCATTCTTTAAAAGAGCACAATGCTCAAGGCAAACATTCTTTATTAAATGAGCTAAAATGTTTAATTTAAAGATGACTTCATGGGATAGTTTCAGTTCAAGGCTTAAAAGTTGTTTCCAGGCAATAGATTCTGGTTTCCTCCAGTCTCAATGTGTCCAGTAAATCCACCAGGTTTTTTTAAGCATTACTACTTCATATAAGTATTCTAGATTAATCTCTTCCTTCCTCCTATTTGCTTATATTGTTTTAAGTTCCAATTTATTTCATTATTTCCTGTGTGGATTGTAGTTGTGTCTTCTGCTAATTTTGTGTTTAGTTTTCTTTAATCTCCCCAATACTTCATATTGCCAAACACTTAAACTTTCAAAAGAATAAAGATATTTAGAATGTGAAAGCTCACCATAATTGTAATTCAGGGCTCAACTCAATGCTGGGCAAAGTGTGAAGTATAGAGGAAAGTAACAATTGTCATAATTCCTTGCAAGGAAAACTGTTATACAATAGTTGAAAAACCCTTTCAAGTACCGAAAGAAAAACAGTTGCTGTGAGTCGATTCTGACTCATGGTGTCTCCATGTGTGTCAGAGTAGAACTATTCTCCATAGGATTTTCAGTGGCTGATTTTTTGGAAGTAAATCACAAGCCCTTTCTTCTGAGGTGCCTCTGGGTAGATTTGAACCCTCAACCTTAAGGTTAATAGCTGAGCGCTTAACCATTTGTACCACCCAGGGACTCCCTTTCAAGCACATTACCAAGAAAATAGAGTAATAAAAGAAGTCTACATTCCCCAAAGAATAGCAAAAGTCATAGCTAATATGAAACCATCTGTGTGATAAAGTGGTTTCGTCTCCTATGGATTCCATGGAGACAATTCATGTCAGGTAACCTTCAATTTCTTACTGTTTTGTGATCCATGACTCTTATTTATTAGGATGCTTATGGAGACTTTGTTTTCCTATTTATCAGTCATTTTATCCTTTGCTGTATTTGCCTTAGATTTCTAATGCTTAAAACAGTTACCATGGAAGTAAACTGGGCAGAATTGAGTATTAGAAATTATTGTTATATTCAAATATTTGTCTAACATGGAGAACTATTTTTCAGTTTGCAATCTCAAAGGTACTTTGTTTTATCTTTAGAACAAGCTGTTTCTGCCAAAAAGGTTACTCATCTCTGTGCTACCTGGGCAAGTCACTTAACATCTTTGGGCCTTACTTTCCATATCTATAAAATGAAATAATTGAACCAAACAAACTAAAACCTTGCAACCCTAAAATTCTATGTTCCTTTAAAATAAGAATGACGAAAGGATGGATGTACAGCATAATTTAAAGTTGTACAGCATAATTTAAAGTTGTACAGCATAATTTCAGCATTCATATTTATGCTTCCAAAAATTGCATGAATATACAGAGCTCTTGCTTTAGGCAGACTTGGATGTTCAACTGACGTTATACATTTCAAAAGAAAGACCAATGTGAAAAATATATACTAATCAAACCTGTTGATGCACTGGAGGGTAGGGTCACAAAATTATTCACATTGTAATCAAATTGGCATCCCCTTTCTTCCAGTTACATTGAAATACCAAAAAAGCAACCTGTTGTCATCGAGTCGATTCCGACTCATATACCGTACTTCAAAGTCGGCAGAGTATCACTGGTTAACCAGTTAGAGAAGAACTGTTAAGAGAGTCAGTGCTGGGCAGGCTGTAGAACTGTAACTGTGACCACCCTCTTAGGGACCTCTCATAGTAGGTTTAACATTCCAGGATCTTTTTTTAATTTTATTTTTTCCCGTACAAAAATTTATACATAGATTGTTATGTGACTGTAATTGCTCTCCCCACACTCTGACAGCACACTCCTCCTTTCCATCCCTGATTCCCCATGTCCATTCAACCAGCTCCAGGATCTTCTAAAGATAGTACTTAACTGCTTAGAAAATGTTCATGTTTCTGAGACGCAGATTGGGATGGGAATCATAGAATATTAGGGTTTCAAAAGGCCCCTGAACCTTCTGTTGTTGTTGTTAGGTGCTGCTGAGTCAGTTCCAACTCATAGCAACCCTATGTACAACACAACGAAATGCTGCCTGGTCCTGCACCATCCTCAAAATTGTTCCTTTGTCTGAGCCCATTGTTGCAGCCATTATGTCAGTCCTTCTGGTTGAGGTTCTTCCTCTTTTTCGATAACCATCTACTTTACCAAGTATAATGTCCTTCTCTAGGACTGGTCTCTCCTGATAACATGTCCAAAGCATGTGAGATGAAGTCTTGCCATCCTTGCTTCTAAGGAGCACTTTGGCTGTACTTCTTCCAAGACAGATCTGTTCGTTCTTCTGACAGTCCATGGTATATTCAGTATTCTTTGCCAACACCACAGTTCAAATGCATCAGTTCTTCCTTGGTCTTCCTTATTCATTATCCGGCTTTCACATGCATATGAGGCTATTGAAAATACTATGGTTTGGGTCAGGCACATGTTAGTCTTCAAAATGACATCTTTGCTTTTTAATACTTTAAAGAGATCTTTTGCAGCAGACCTCTAGGTACATGGAAACGTAGTTGCTCTCGTTCCCATGAAATCCAATACCTAATACGTCTTGTACTGTAAATAAACAACTTTTACATTTCTTCCCTGAAGATGAGGTCTATTTGCTGAGTGCAGGTGAGAGAGGTGCTAATTATTTCATTCATTCATCAAATATTTATAGAGGGCCTACCATGTGCCTGACACTATTCTAGGAGCTGCAGATATAGCAGTGAACAAAACAGACAAAACTCCATGCCATCATTGAACTTACATTCTTATAGGAGTTAAACAATAAACAAAATAAATACCTAAATATATGGCTATATTAGAAGGCCTTGAGTGTTATAGAGGGAAAAATTAGAAAGCAGGGAAGTGATTTGGTATAAATGAAGCACAGCAGGAATGGGGGGAATTGTCATTTTTAAATTGGGCAATCAGGGTAGACCTGATTGAGAAACTGGTATTTAAATAATGACTTGAAGAAGGTTGTCTTAGTTATCTAGTGCTACTATAACAGAAATACCACAAGTGGGTGGCTTTAACAAACAGAAGTTTATTTTCTCAGTTTAGGCAGCTAGAAGTCCAGACTCAGGGGGCCAGCTCTCAGGGAAGGCTTTCTGTCTGTCGGCTCTGGGGGAAGCTCCTCATCTCATTTCAGCTTCTAGGATCTCCTTTGTGATTTCCATGTGGCATGGCATCTATCTTCCCCCATCTCTGCTTTCTTGCTTCCTTGCTTAACCTGCTCTCCTTTATCTCAAAAGAGATTGATTTAAGACACACCCTACACTAATACTGCTAGTTATGATAACAAAGAAAACCCATTCCCAAATGGGGTTATAACCACGGATACAAACCCAACCCACTGCCATCAAGTCAATTCTGACTCATAGAGACCCTATAGGAC